GCACGTCAAAGCACGAAATGTTTCAGTGAGAGATTAAAAATGAAGTCTGAATGTAAAGTGATTGATAATAACAGTACAGTTTTGCGGTACGAAAGGAAAAATCGGGTTGCAGATACACTCGGAGACAAGATAGAGCGGAACAGGGAACAGCAGCGAATAAAAGCACTTGAAATATTGCAATTACGCAGAGAAGGGTGGAGGCAAGAACCAACCGAACTAACTGTTCATAGCATATATTCAATACATATTCATGCCGCCGGCGAATTTGAAGCAGGTCAAAGAACACGAAAATTATGTGTAAATATCGGAAACAATAGTAGGAGCAAAACGCGCCTGCATAGCTCTAAGAATTCAAAGGAATGGCTTAGAATTTTTCTTATATTGAACGTGTTCCCAATGAAAGATTTTAGCTCGTCAAAATAGTGCTTCTGAATTTGCAAAGTTTATAATTCAGACTTTTCTAAATTATTAATTTAATAAGGAATCAGGAAGAACACAACAACGATGATTCCGACTCAAAATCCTCATCAGTTTTACTTATCCAAGTGTCAGAATACCTGTGGAATTGGTCACACATGACCTAGTTACCCTATCCTCCATTGGAAGGCAGTTTCAAGGCGGTACCGGCATCGCGGTTAAGCTTGGTCGGATCTGACATAGAAAATCAAATTAACGATAGATGAAATACACCGAAACAGATTACAAAATGAGTAACCACTAGAAGATAAAGATCAAGGATTTGCTGAGGATTCCTCCAATCTGTTCAATCTACTATTCGTTTTGCTACCGTCGCTTCCAAAATCTTTCTTTCTGAAATTAAGTTTCTTTTTTAATTGCTCGACTGACATTCTTCTTTTGAAGCTGTTCTTGAGTACATAATGTTCTTATGATGTAATCAGTTGTCTTCTCGTAACCTCCTTTTCAGCTTTTTTTCCCGTTTCCCAATATCTACCCACACAAGATCGAAAGAGGCAAACGTACCCTTAATTATTTCTTGGTTTGGCTAAATCTATTATGTATAAATGAAGCAACTTAGTTTGTTAGAAGAATTGTATACCGTATGAAAGGTATATTTAGTTATATGTCATTAAACGCTTTACCTCGGTTCTTGAGCAAGGACGATAGTGCTCACAGTGTTCCTGCTGTCCGCCGTATAAGTGAGCCCAAGCTGTCGTAAGCGGGAAGCCGAACTTTGTGTAATCGGTCTATCGGTGGATCTACCGACAATCACAGTGATCCTTTTCAGGGTCAAAATGTTAGCCACTACGAAATAAACCAAACGGTTTTTATAGAGACAAATCAGTGAAACCGTAGACCACATACAGCATTTATTGGCTGAATATCGAACGCATTGCATATGTAAAATGCAAATAACTAGTAAGAATCTTGAAAAAGCAGAACTAATATCACCGTCATGCAAGTGACGCACAGCGAAGACGATCGTACAGCGGCGGATACAAAATTGCTGCGCTCAAAATGGTTGCCAGTACGCTTCAGCTACCTTTGTCAGAGTAAGGATGTCGCAGTACCAGACACTAGCAAAAATTAGACAGGCGAACTCAGAAACAGAATAAAAGATCTTGAATTTAGAAGTACATGTACAATCGATTCGCTAAAATCGCCGTCGTCAAAGCTACCTCGTAACGCTGTTTATTTGGGTGACTTCAACAATCACCTTGCGGCGTGGGATTCGTCGGTGAATGATCAGGCGGGTGAATATCTGACCGACCGGCAATCAGCATCTGGTGTATAATTTCGCCACGATGCAAAACAGCAAGGTAC